TAACTTCTATATAAAAAGCCTAAATGACTGTTGTGATGGAATGACCAGAATGACCAGAACGACCAGTTGTTATGATGTGCACTACCATCAGGGGGCAGACACTCAATGCAGAAGCTGCCTCCTAGTGGTCAGTGCACTCTCACAAGGGGAGCTTCACTTAGCCAGAAGGTGGGCTCATGGCTGGTGAGCACAATAGCAGTAGTGGGAGCCTCTTTTGCCTCCTCAGCAATGCTAAGGAAGAAGCAGTGAGCCAAGTGGTAAGGAGCAGTGAGAAGATGGGCAGTAAGGAGTAAGGGGTTTCGGACTGCGAGAGGGATGTCCACCTGCTGGCTCAGGCCCATTCCCAACAGGCTAAGCCAGCAGACAGACATCCCCCGAAGGGCTCTGGACTGAGAGGGTGCAGGCCAAGATGAGGGATGCCCCTCCCCCAAGTGCACAAATTTTGTGCACGGGGCCTCTAGTTTTATTATATTCTATCTATTCCTTGGCATATATATTTAAATTATTTTAGGTATTTTTAGCTTAGATAATAAAATATCATCTGATGTAATGTTTGGAACTGTTCACTTAATATAGTTTGGTAAGATTTATTCATATTGCTGTAGTTCTCTGTAGTTTATCATCTTTGTATATTATATACTTTGAGTGGTATATAATATTTCTTTGTGTTATGACATAGTTTTATGTTTACTCATTTAATGTGCATTTGGGTGGAATCAAGCTTATGCTGTTGATAGCAATTTTTATCAATTAAGTGGTATAAAAGAGCAACTTTTTCTTTCTAGGACATTTAATAATGCTGACCATCTCTTTATGTACTTGTTTGCTAAGTGTATTTTATCTTCTATGAAGTGTCTGTCCCTCTCCCTGATTCTTTTGAAACCTATGTGCTTTCTCATTGATTTGTATGAGTTCTTTACAAATTTTAGCATGTATTTGTGTTGATTTTTCACACTGCAAGCATCTTATCCAAGTTTGTAATTTATGCTTTTTCATTATAAATATATCTTTCTTAAAATTACATTTATTGTTGAAGTTTTACAGAGGTACCCTTTTTCAGATGTTATTTTTTATCCACTCATCTACTAATGGATATTTGGGTTGTTTCCAGATCTTAGCTATTGTAAACTGCTATGAACATAGAGGTACATATATACTTTCTGCATGATGTTTCAGGATGTTCAATTAATATTTGACAAAGAAGGCAAGAGCATACACTGGAGTAAAGACAGTCTCTTCAATAAATGGTGTTGGGAAAATTGAACAGGTATATGAAAAATAATGAAACTAGACTACCAACACAAACAATACAAAAGAATAAATTCAAAATGGATAAAAGACTTAAATGTAAATTTTGAAACCATAAAAATCCTAGAAGAAAATGTAAAAAGAAAAATCTCAGACATCTCACATAGCAGAATTTTCACTGATAGATACATCTCTTAGGGCAAGTGAAACAAAGAGAGAAATAAACAAATGGTACTACATCAAACTAAAAAGCTTCTGCACAACAAAAGTAACCACCATCAAAATGAAAAGGGAACCCATTGTCTGAAAGAATGTATTTGTTAGAGATTCATCTCGTAAAGTGTTAATTTCCATGATATATATATAGTACTCATACAACTCAACAAAAGAAAAATAATCCAATTAAAAAATGGGTAAAGGCCAAAACCGGTTTGGCTCAGTGGTAGAGCGTTGGTCTGCGGACTAAAGGGTCCCAGGTTCGATTCCAGTCAAGGGCATGTACGTTGGTTGCGGGCACATCCCTGGTAGGGGTGTGCAAGAGGCAGCTGGTCAATGTTTCTCTCTCATCGATGTTTCTAGCTCTCTATCCCTCTCTCCTCCTCTCTGTAAAAAATCAATAAAATATATTTTAAAAAATGGGTAAAGGTCTTGAATACACACTTCTCCAAAATAGATATATGAATGGCCAAGAGACATGAAAAAATGGTCAATGTTACTAAGCATCAAAGAGATGCACATTAAAATGACAATGAAGTATCACCTCACACCTGCCAGAATGGCTATCATCAATAAATCAACCATCAAGAGCTGGAGAGGATGTGGAGAAAAGGGAACCCTAGTGCACTGCCAGGTGAATGCAGACTGGTGAAGCCACAGTGGAAAACAATGTGGAGTTTTCTCAGAAAAGTAAAAAGGAGCTCCAATTTTGATCCCGTGATCCCACTTCTAGGAATATATCCTAAGAATCCCGAAACACCACCCAGAAATAGGATATCTTTTAATGAACAAGTTTTAAATTTTGAGAAAGTTAAACTGATCATTTATTTTGAGATCTGAAAGATATTTATATTTATTTTGTACTAACAATTTTAAGGTTTTTGACATTTAAGATGGTAATTGATCTTGCGTTGATTTTTGAATAGATGGTGTGATAATTTCATTTTTTCACATAACAGTTGCATTTTCCCTATCTCCATTTACTAAAAAGTTCCTTATTTCCTTGCTGTCTGACATGCTATGTTTGTCATATACCAAAGTTGAATGTGTTTAGATCTATCACTAAGTTTCTCAGTCCTCATCTGTCTCGGTGCCAAAATAGCTCTCTTAAGTAAATCTTCATAAAAACTCTTAAAATCAGGTACAGTAGGTACCTGCTTTTTCTCATAAATATTCCAGCTATCTTTGGCCCATACTTACTTTCTTTAGAATCATATTTTAAAATTTAGTGAAAAATTCTATTTGAATTTTGATTAGAATATGATCAAAAATAGATAATTTGGGAGAGAATATCTTCATACTATGTTATTCCTATCTATAAACATGGTTTTTAGTTTTTAAACATAGTTTTTAGTTTTAAACATAGTTTTTCTGTCTTGATACTATTTTATTAATTGGAATTCTTACTACACTTCTTCCGTTATTTCTTTTAATAGACATTAAATTTCATCTATTTCAGCTTCTCTTTCTTGTATTTATCATTGAATCTAATATTCCCCCTAAATTTGTGTATAATAAATACAAAATATGTTACCTAATTATTTGTGCCAAAATGAGTTGAAAACAGGGTCCTTTCCTTTTGATGCAATCATTTTTAAAAAAAAAAAATAAGATAGTTTAGAGAATTGAGTTCTTTAAAAAAAAAAAAAAAAATTGCTAGCCCTGGCTGGTTTGGCTTAGTGCTGTGATTGGCAAACTGTGGCTCGCAAGCCACATGCGGCTCTTTGGTCTCTTGAATGTGGCTCTTCTACAAAATATCATGTATGGGCGCACACGTACAGTATGATTGAAACTTCGTGGCCCACGCCAAGAAGTCAGTTTTTGGCTCTCAAAAGAAATTTCAATCATTGTACTGTTGATATTTGGCTCTATTGACTAATGCATTTGCCGACCATTGACTTAGTGGATAGAGTATCGGCTCATAGATTGAAGGGTCTTGGGTTTGATTCCAGTCAAGGGCACATACTTTGGTTCCAGGTTCAATCCTGGGCTCTGGGCTCTCACATCAATGTTCTGTCTCTCCCCCTCCTTTCCTCTCTCTCTGAAAATCAATGGAAAAATATCTATGGTGAGGATTAACAACAACAACAAAAAGATTGATAACATTTTGGTTAGGCAAAAACAAAAGGCTTTCAATGACTATTATTGCTCCTCTACAAGTGAGATTTATTTTCTGCATTGTTATGGGAATAAAGAGGAAATAGGAACAATTAAGTGATGTTTAATGGTTTATATATTTTTAAACCCTAGTTATTATGTATATAGAGAAGGAAAAATGTGTCAGTTTGCAATTATATTCCACAAAAATATACTTTTACATACTTATTGGTGTCATTAAACAATATAGATTTATAGATTAATTCAGTATCAATTATTTAAATACTACTATTGAAATTGTATTTATATAGAAACATTATTTTCATTCATGGATCCACTGGAAGTTATTAAATATTTTAAGTTAACTTAAATTAAGCATCATAAAAACAAATAAAACTGAATTACTTTCTTAATCTGGATGAAAGAATTTGCAATTTTTTTCATGATTTGTTGAAGTAAAATTAGCCTATCTGGGATTTGGATCAACATTGTCTATTGAAAAATAGACTATTACACATATTTATCAGTCATTGCCAACTCTCTAGATTTTGCTTATTGCAGATTTAGCTGAAATAGAACAAGAAAATCTGATACATTGACTTATGACATAACTTCACAAAGTGGGTTTTTTCACTAAAGTTTTGTTTTTATTTTTCTGAGTGTCATGGACAAATCTAAATGTAATGATGCCACAGAAACACCTATAAACAGATTACATTTGAAAGTAGAAGGTAGTTATCTTTCTCAATCAGTATGCAGAATATAAGAGAAAGGGGAGTGTAACTTGAATCATTTTAAAGAAAGAAAATATATGCTTTCGTATGACCAATCTGAAGTCTTGGTTGTAAAATTTGCCTGTGGCAATACACTCAGAAAGTCTTTTAACTGAATATAAATTTAGCTGCCTTTCAGTTTTTAGTGAGCTTAATGTGTTTTTCTTCTCCTTTTTTAGAAAGAAAGAGCTAGTGTTATATCAATCCAAGTGAATTTTGATTAAGATAGAACACAAAAAAATTAAAAATTGGGATGTTAGAAAGCAATTTCCATGGCCACAAATGAACTGTCAGTTCATAAAACTTTATCAATTAAACTAATAGGAAAAACATTCTCACTTGCAAACATCAAATTCATTAATGATGGGATAGTCTACATTTACTTTTATTTTGGTTATAAAAGTTTTAATACAGGCAACATATTCTTTGTTAGAAATGTGGCATTATGTAAATTACTTTTGATTTTTTTTCTACAATAATACATACCTTTGCATCATTCTGAGGAATCAATTTTATTTGAAAAAATATACAAAATAATAAAAGAAAAGATGAAAGTTTACATAAAATTAATTTGGTTTGATATTGGTTTGAAATCCCCCCTTTATAGAAATACTTAAAAGATATTTTCCCAGGAAAATGTATAACGTCTTGTTTTAAATTTAACAGTAAAGAAGAATCATCAGTAACATCAGATGAGCATAACTTTGAGAACTCAAAGACTACAGGTAATCTTATTTTAACTGTTAAACAGAATCTGTCACTTTTGTTAAAACCTACAATTACAACAATCTTACATAGGTACACTTATATTAACTTTTCAGATACCCATATCCCAATAATCGTTTGTTCCCAAGAGGATAAGGAAGACTTGGAAACCGGCATTCAACATGTAAAAGATGTAAACAGGGACCAGGATGAACACGACAGAAAAGAATTAGAGCTGAGGGTAAGTGCTCCGGTTGCCACGTTATTAGAGAAGATGATTCCATTTATGCTTCAAAGATGCTGCAACGCTGGCCTTTCAATAGCTTCCACTAATGTGGTTTGCAAATGTGAAAGCACAGCCCATTCTGTCCTTGCATCCCTGGCTTGATCAACAAGACCCTTTGATTTCCATGTGCTGCTTCTGCTCTGTACAGTGGTAAATTAATAGCATTCATTTTTTTTCTCTCTGTACCAGAAGCTCTGAGTAATAGTTTGTAGGAATTACAGAAGAGGTAGAGCTATTCTGATGTGCATTTCTAATCTTTGTGACAAGTGTACACTTAGCATAAACTTATCTGTAAGGTGAGAGGGCTGCTCTAGATGATGTTAGGGTTCTGTCCAGCACAACAAGTATTGCATTTAGCAGCATGTTTTCCTACTTACATCTTTGTGAGAATCTCAATGTTCTATATCATTGGATAGTATTAAATTACAAAATAAGGAGAAAATGTCCTGTGCCATATTTTTAAACAAGAAACAAGTGCAGTACTGTAAAATGTAGTATTATATTTATTATAAATTTCACACTTGGTGAACATTCAATCTATTTGAAATTTGGGGGGATGGTTTAGATAGCATTTTTATTACAAAGGCAGAAATAGGAGAAATGAATCACATAATGTAATTTATCCTTACTGTAGTTGGTTGGAGATCTTGTCATTAAAATACATAGATTCATAATCATCTAAGATTAAAATTTGCTTTTTCAAGTGTCAGAGCTGAAACAGAAAAGAAATAAATCTCATCCTTTCTTCCCACACATTCTCCCCTTTCTCTAGTGATATGGAGGCTGCATCACTGAAGTATGCAATTTACTTTACTCTAACTTTAAAAAACTACAAAGTTGTCACCCATTGTGAGAATTCTCAGCAGCTGAAAGTTAACATTGCCATTTTTTTTCAAACAACAGAATATAATGAAAGAGCCTTTAAAAATCACATATTTCACCAATACATCTCATTACAATGAGCAGGCTCAAATATAAAAGTTTGTTTAGGAGTTACTGAGATTGAATGTCCAATAAATGAACAGGGAGCTATAATTTAGAAGCTAATTTGCTCCATGCTGACATTAATGCATAAAACAATGAAGCTCCATAATAGATGGAAATACAACCAAATCTGTGGAACCCACAGGCATTGGCTTACAAGACAGCTGTGCAGTTGACAAGTAACATGAGCCTTATGTGAGAAGAAGGGGAAAACGTAAGATTTGCATATAATTATCGAGATCATGCAAATGTCAGTTATGAGGAGAGGGAAAAAAAACACACACACAGGCATCTCACTGTTAAATCCTGACAGTTGGCATCACTGAAGAGCTCAAATACATTTGAGTACCAGTTGGCAGAGGGTCATTAAAACAGAATTTGCAGAGACATTAACTCCCTCACTTTTCTTTGAGTGACGTTTTGCTATTAATAGTTTGCAGAGGCTTTGCAGAAAACATATTAATAAGAGAAACTGTAATAGGGGCACCTACAGCAAGTGTGAATGCAGCAAAGGGCACCCAGGAAGCTGCTCTCTAATTGATTAGCATGGAGCTATCAATGTGTATATCCTAAGTGAGGAGAAAGTGCAATGACAAGCAAGAATAGTTGAATAATACAATGTGATATTTGGAAGCTGGGAAGGAGAGTGATTAATTTTGGACCCTTTTCTTATTAATATGATTCCCAAGTCATAGCCTGCAAGGATCCCCCCCAAAAAAACACACCTAGTTTCCAGGATTTGTACTGAATCCACAAATGAAATGAGCCAAGGAAATCTACCGATAATCAGTAGCCAAATTAATGAGGCCTATCTAACTCATTTTGTATATTTAAAACCAGTTGGTCATTATTTCTTGTTGTTTTTATTCCTTAAGATAAATCAAGACTTAATAAGAAGCACTGCTTCCAGGGATGAAAAGAATACATTTTCAACAGATCCAGTCAATTTTCCAAGTAAGGGTGAGGTGCTACAGAAGAAGCATAATCATGATGAAGTACACAGTGACTTGCTTAAAAGGACTTTGCCTCCAAGTTCATCAGCAGAAAGCTCCTTAAAGAGAGATTTTTGTAGCAACGAAAAATATTTCTCAGGAAATGAGTGTAGTCATCGACCTTCAGAGGAAATCACTTCAGATAGGAGAAAAATCAAGCCATCTTTGGGAAATACTGGTAGGGATGACTTGGTGCAATTACATGTTAGCCACAAAGAAGTATTGGATGATAATGCCAATCCAGCTCAAAGGAGGGTCAGTGTGCAAATATCTTGTCCTTCTTCGGATCAGCTAATGGAAGACAACCTTAATAAAAAACAAGAAGGAGGAGCTATGGGAATTAAAATGAAAGATTTGGAATGTTCAAGAAGAGATTTCCATTCAGATTTCCACTTGGAAGGATCAATAGAAAAGGGATCTTCCAAGAAAGATTATGGAAATGGTAAGAATGAGGAGCAAAGAATGCATCTGGGTGTTAGTGAACAACAAAGCAAAAATCTTCAGTCAATCTTACATGACCAAGAAAAGATAAGCTACTCTGAAATAAGTGTGAAAGAGACTGGAGCTAGTAGCAGAGGACTAACTGTTCTGCAGAGTAAGGACACCTCAACTCCCAACCAGGCAGTCAGAGAAGATCCATTTCAATCACCAAGAGGAAGTCTAAGTTGGGGAGAAGCCGTGTCAACAACCACAGAGCATGATCTCTCAATTAGCAAAGGCACTACTTCAGGAGAGATGCCTACTCAAGTTGGTTCATCAAGAAATGGAAATATTTTGAAGAATGATTACCTTTTCCAAGTTGAAGAAGAAAATGTAAGTAGGATTAATCCTGAAAATCAGAGTAAGAACAAACACCGTAAAAAACGATGGAATTTTCTGGAAAGTCAGGGAAAAGCAATAGAGAGTAAGACAAATACAACCCAGCAGATCAAACAACATGCAGATTGTGAAGATACCTGTGGGGGAAGAGATAATACGAGGAGTCTGACTGCTACTCCTACAGAGAAGTTGTTTACCTGCCAAGAAGCAGTGAGCTCTGAACTGTCTCCTCTAGCTGATCATGATATGACTGAGAAAGCAGGAGCAGGTACTGCTTATCTAATTAAGACAATATCAGAAAGTACTCTAGAAAGCATGCCTGCTGGAGACAAAGCAGTAATTGCTAAGCTACCTCAAGAGACGGCGCGAAGTGACAGGCCCATCGAGGTAAAGGAAAAAGCATTTGATCCACATGAAGGGAGAAATGATGACTCACATTATACCTTTTGTCAAGGAGCTACAGTAGGTGTAACCTGTGATGATGGCTTTGAAAAAACATCATATTTAGATATTTGTAATGTACATGTAGATGAAATGGAGAGTGAAGAAGCCATATCGACGCACAATCCTGCAAAGACACATGACAGGAAGAAACATGGCACTGGAACTATAACACCTGTAGAGGAATCCTTGCAGGTCATTAGAAGCAATCAAAAAACAGCCTCAAAACTGGGAGTGGGACTGTCACCAGCCGATAAAAAAATATTTTCGGAAAATAGAGATCCTGGGCAGGTCCAAGAATTATCAAAGGAAATGGGTACAGGTGCTATTCTTCAGTCTGCTTTAAACGCAGACACTCAGAGAGCATCTGAGAATGGCTCTCCTGTTTCCAATCACCATGCTAAAACCTCAGTGTCATCTTATGAGCAGGCAGTTGCTATAGATAATACAGTTAGTACCATGGCTCTCCAATCTATTCGTACTAAATCAGAATATAATTGTAATCCAGCAAGCGGAATCCAGGGTATTGGCAAACCCCCTCATGCTGGGGATACAATTGAAGACGTTTCCAAAAGTTCAGTGAGATCAGTGAGCAGGAAAGAAACACATAGAGGAGAATGCAGTGTGGAAAAGTGTGTAGGGCCAGTGGTTTTAATCTCTGATGCTGTTGAAAACACAGCAGAGGTCAGGCACAGAATTGAAGGTGTATTAAACTCTGGACAAGCACCGTGTTTTTCAGGTGACAAGGAATCTGAGAGCTCTGCTTCTGCTAACCTCCCTGCCCACGAAAGTCAAGCTCAAAGCAGTCAATCTCTGCTTTTGAAATGCACCAACTCAAAAATATCTTATTTCCTATTGTTTCTGATATTTCTTGTGACCATCTACCAGTACGACTTAATGATTGGCTTGGCCTTCTATCTTTTGTCGTTGTACTGGCTCTCCTGGGAAGGGGGAAGACAAAGGGAGTCTGTCAGAAAGAAGTAGCCTCAGCTCTACTCTGACTCTCGTCAAAGATAAGCTATTTAGCCCCAAACGTTTGGGTTGCTGAAAAAGACTATTCATTATTCAAAGAGCCAGTGCAGTTTTTCCTCTTAAAGGCTCATTTAAAATGGAATGCGTATGAAGTTTGCTCCTTCATATAAGTAATTATCCTATATAGGACCATTATGTTTGGATCATTAAATACCTATATGAATATGAGATCTGAAGCACGTCAGGCTGAAATTAGGTACAGCTGTTGCTCCTTCCCAGGCTGTGAAGTTGCAATGCTTCACATCTCTTCACCACTTCAAGTGCCATTTCTTGCATTCATTACTTTTGCAGTAAAGCTTCATTCCCGCCCCCCTCCCCCCGAGAATATTTTTTCCCTCTATGGGTTTTAAAAATGGATAAAACATGGACAACAGCAGGGGACTTTTACTGTTTTTTTTTTCTTTTTTTTTCTTCTTCAGTATTGGCCATGAAATTTGCATTTACCCCTGTATCATTTTATCATCACATTTTGATAGATCAAATCTTTCAACTTCAATTTAAGATTTTTAAGAACAACAAATTAAGATATGTGCACTAAAATAGAAGGAACACATGACTTGCTTAAATAATACTTTATGCATACACATACCTCTCACCTCCTTTAAATTTACAAAAGCTGGGCATTCATAAGCCAAATCTGAGAAAGAATGACACAATTTGGAGATGACCTTTCAATTCTACAAAATGTTGTGGGTGGCCTGTTTTTAATCTGCTTTTCCCTTATAAAGAGAGACTGTGCAACATAATTGAATGATGTCAATTATTATTCAAAGTTGAAAATTTAAAAGTTCTACAAACATTGCTTTACAAGGAATTGTACATATAAAAATTTAATTAATAGTAATAATTTAAAAATTCTTCCAAAAGAACTGTTCTACTAGGTAGTATTTTTTGTCCTCAAAGTTTTTTTAATCTTTTCTCATTATAATACACTGAATTATTCTTCCAGGTGCATTTAGACAACAAACAACTAATCATTGGTGATAATTATTATATAATGATCAGGTTGTTAGGTAATAGCTCACAATGTAAACTAGGCTAATAAGTAATATGGAAATCTGCTGAGGGAGATGACCCACAATAGCAGTGCTTTGGGCTGTTGTTATTATCTATGTCTAAGTCTGTGAAATAATGAACTAGTTATTTTAGTCACAAGGGGATAATGCAAAGATTCTTATACAGTTGATTTAAATAACCATTTATTGAGTGACTACTATATGAAAAACCCTGTGCTCTGTTCTATGGCTGAGCATTCTCTTTGATGCCCTGAAAGGCTAGTCCTCAAGAGGAGGCATAAGTATGTAGTTAGACACTTATGACTTAGGAGTATGTGAAAGAGTCACATTGAGGGGGCCCCTTTGGGTGATTTTTTTCCCCATAAGAACTTTTTTTCGTAGAGCATATAGCATTGATCTCCAGAAAGAAAAATGTTTTCTGTTTATTTACCTGTAAAGGTGAATCCAATGAGTAAAACTTGCATATATCATTCCACACATCTAAGAAACATTCATTTATGAGAAGATAAGATTAGAGTGAAACATTTTAACTGACTTTCATGTGGTAGTAGATGAAAGTTGAATAAATACAAACATCTTGAAGTAGAACTTAGGGCAGTTGTTTGATTGAGAAAGTATATCGTTATTAAAATACAAGTGGAATACTATAGGCTGTACCTAGAATATTTGCTCTAAAATTGCTGTCCTGATAACTTTGTTGATAGATTTAAACTACAATGGAATTAAGGTTAGCATTTCTTCAGTTCTTAATAGTTTGGCTTTTTCATTCTATCTTTAAGAATTTCGGTCAAAATACCATATATTTCTACTTCAAAGAATACTATTACTTCATGAACAAGGTACATGGACTGTAATTATTCCCTTATGCATAAAAGAATGTAACTTATTTTGTTTATTTGACTTTTGGTAACATAAATGTATTAACATTCTCATACATTTTTGTAATATGACAATCAAAGGGTCTAAATGGTTGTGTATTTTTCTGCATGCAATAAAGAAAAAAATTGATGATTTACTTGATTTTGCAAACATTACTTACAAAGCATTCGAAATCATAGTCCTAAGAACTTACAAAACTAATGGTAGGTGGAGAGAGAGATTGTTGGACCATGTTTTGGTCACATTGCTCTGTTAAACAAGAAAAGCAGATCTCAGAAAGAACTGTCAAAGCCTAGTTAATCAAGACTTGGTTGTTAACCATCATGGCAAGGTGGTCTCTGCAAAGCATAGCTGCTTTCACCATGTCTTCCCAAGTCTTAGTTAAGAGCCCAAAGAGGGTGTGGCATGAGAAGGGAAATGCATTGCACACTTGCATCTTATAGTGGGTGATGTATAAAATGTGATCTATGAAACCATCACCTTTTATCTTGCTGTGCTTCTATTAGAAACAAAATTATGAAAATATGAAAATAAATTGGCAATTCTAGCATGTATAGGTAGGAAAATCATCTTAAAAATTCACATCCGTATAGCTGTAAAAAAAAAAAAAAAAGAAGGAACTCCTCCCTTTGAGGCAGCATGAAGGGATCTGGAGAACGTAATGCTAAATGAAATAAGCCAGTCAGAGAAAGACAAATATCTCACTTATATGTGGAATCTGATGAACAAAATAGATCCAGAGACATGAAAGCATGAACAGGTGGAAAAATCTTTGAAAGAAGGGGGTGAGGTCAGGAAGAAATTAACCAAAGAATTTATATTTGCATACATGCATGACCCATGGATATAGATAATAATATGGTAGGTTGGGAGATGATGAGTGGGGAGAGTAGAGTAGGAAGTGGAGTGGAGGGGATCAATAGGGGGAGAAAGGGGACATCTGTAATACTTTTAACAATAAAGATCGATTTAAAGAAATAAAAAAATGCATCAGAAAAAAAGAAAGAAAAAAAAATTCACATCTGTATAAGCCAAATATATTTTTAATGTAAGAAGAAATGTCATTGATATGACATTCATCCCTCAAGATTTAAGAACATTGAATTAATGCAGTGTGTTTCCCTGCTGAGCTCCAATATTTTGATAGTGAGTTATTTCAAATAACATACATATTCTGTTACAATTCTGTGAGAGAAACAAGATTACAAGATTATCTTTTACTTGTCATCTTACTAGTAAACCAGTCTGCTGATTAAGTGAAAAACTTTAAAGTATATACACCAAATTTAAGGAAATAAAATATTTTACTTTTCCCATTAGCATGTATGCTATGTTCTTAATAATTTATTTTAGTCATGAATATTATTGTGTTCCAGGAGGCTTGTTGTTTTCTTTATTAGGCTCACTTTTGCATGTACATAAATCAAAACTGAAAAGAAAGCAAAAATGAAAAAAGTCAACTAGCAAAAGATCTAATGCAAATGAGGTAGGAGGACTATCGTCTCTAGGATCAATTCATCTACTGATTTCTGACCTTTCCTTCAAATTTTCAGTGATTGGACATAGAAATGGAAATATACACTAAGGCTTGTCTTTGGTTATTTGAATCCTGTCTTAGCCAGTTCTTGTGGAACTGAAGAATAGAATCTACTCTAATTTTGTAGCAAGGTTCAACAGAAATATGACAGGCCATGCTCTTCCAGCATCTCCTCGGTTGTACACCTGTATGAAGAGAACAGCTAAAAAGGTCCTTTTAGCTAGTCCATGTCGTCTAGTGGTTGAGAGGTGACCTATGAACCAGGTGGTTGGCATTCAGTTCCTGATCAGGGCACATACCCAGATTGCAGGCTTGATCCTCAGTAGGGGGTGTGCAATGATTCTCTCTCATCATTGATGTTTCTGTTTTTCTTTGCCTACCCCCTTCTCTCTTCTTCTCTGAAATCAATAAAAAAAACTTTAATGTGCTCAGCTGATAAGAGCAGTGACATCACCTAATAAACTTAGAGCCACCTGGACCACTCTTTTCTTTTCTTTTGCCTATTTATTTTAAATCTTTATTGTTGAAAGTATTACATAGGTTCTTCTTTTTACCCCATTAACCTCTTCCAGCCCACTCCCATTCACCCTCCTAGTCTGGCCCTCACCACCCCATTGTCTGTGTCCTGGGTTATGCAAATCATTGGTAATCTCTTCCCACTTCCCCTCCCCTGCCTTCCTTCTGAGGTTCAACTTCCTATTCATGCTTCTATATCGCTGGGTATATTTTTGTTGACCAGTTTACTTGATTCATTAGATTCCACATCTGAGTGAGATTGTGTGATACTTATCTTTTTCTGACTGGTTTATTTCACTTAGCATAATACTCTCTAGGTCCATTGTGCTATTGCAAATGGTAGGAATTATTTCTTTTTTATTGCCATATAGTATTCCATTGTGTAAATGTACCACTGTTTCTGTTTGTTTGTTTCTTATCTATTTACCTGCTGATGGGCACTTAGGATGTTTCCAAATCTCTTCAGTAAATTGCACTGCTATGAACAAAGGGGGCATATATTCTTTCTTATGAGGGTTCCGGGTTTTTTAGGATATATTCCTAGAAGTAGGATCAGTATGTCAAATGGGAGTTCCATTTTTAATTTTTTGAGAAAACTCAATATGTTTTCCTTAATGGCTGCACCAGTCTGTATTCCCACCAGCAGTGTTCTAGGGTTCCCTTTTCTCTACAATTTTGCCAACACTTGTTATTTGGTGATTTATTGATGATAGCCATTCTGACAGGTTTAAGGTGATATCTCATTGTCATATTGATTTGCATCTCTCAGATAATTAGTGCCTTTTGAGTATTTATTCATATATCTTGGCTTTCTGTATTTCCACTTTGGAGAAGCGTCTACTTAGGTCCCTTTTTTATTTAAGTTGTATAATTTCCCTATATATTTTGGAGAGAATTCAGAAACTCACCCAAGCCACTTCGCTCAATTAATATTTGACAAAGGAGACAAGAGCATACATTAGAGCAGAGACAGTCTCTTCAATAAATGGTGTTGGGAAAATTGG